TCTTGATGATAATTCGGTTGAACAAGATAAGTTTGTTGTTTATCAGTCTATTCTTTATAGTTGTTATCTTTTTCCTCTACTAATATTTTATTAACTACTGTAAGTTTTTTTTTCTATATTTCGTCACTCTCTTCAGGTAGGGATTGGAACCGTTTAACTATTTAAAAGTTGCTCCATAGTCCCCGGACAGAATTATGTTAGTCGTGAGCTGGAATTATTTTAATGCCGGCCAAATTAAACGATTAAATAATTAAGAAAAACTTTAGGCAGTTCCAATTCCTATCTTCAGATTTGACTATCGTTTCTACATCAGAGGATTTTACTGCGGCTAATTTTTTAGAAAGGGCATTTAATATATGATAAGTATCTTTTTTTTCTTTATTATTACTGTTGTGTTCTTTTAAGAATTTACTAACTGTTGTAATAACTTTGTCTAGCTATTTCAGTATTCTTATTCTAATTCCGGGTGATAACTTTGAAGATAAGGGTTGACTTCATCACAGTGCTGGAAGTATTTTGTTTATTAACTCCGTTATTGTCCCACATTTGTATTAAGGGCTTTACTGATAATTTTCTCTTTATTTTCTAGATATTTGTAATAATAATAACCTGATCTGTTAGGAATTAGCGGAAATGAAGTTTCCGCTTATTCACATACAGTCAGGGTATTATTAATTAATCCTTCCGTGATCTTGATATAGTGATCGGGGATTATCGTTCTAATCTTAACATTTCTTTTCAGAATTTACTAAATTGTACAGCGATGAGGCTTGGAGTATCACATTCCGGTATGTTAGAGTCATAGATGATTTTATTAATAATATGTTCTCTGATTCATTTGATGGGACATTGTTAATTATTTTACTATCTTTTATAAGAATGTATAACTCTTATTACTGTCGATTGTTCGGGTTATTTCATTCGAGTATGTATGATAGACGATTTTCTGATCTTCATCAAATTCTATTTCATTCATGCCAACTCTAGAATTTTTAGGAATTCTGTTTACGAAATATGGAAATAAGGTTATACTCAAGACGATTATGGCGATATTAATTGTCGCAGCTGATGCTGAAATTTGGGATCTCAATTTTAAAATATGAGCCCTCTAAAATTTATGTATGCTTTTTAATTATCAATTCTAACTCTAAATCCTAATTTAACTCTAGAAAAAAAAGCAGTAAAAAAAAATACCCCAAAAATTTTTAAGTTTTCATATCAAAATAAGTTCAAATTTCGTAAAAAGATATCCATTTTCATTGTGCAACATTTATTTTTTCTTTGATCGAATTTTTGTATATTTTTTTTTACATAGATTTTAAATATTGTATATATTGGCATAAAATTTGCGTCGGTAAAAAAAAAATAAATAGTACTAATCTTTGACTTTAATTTCAATTTCTGATAAAAAAACATTTTCGAATATTTTAC